CCCTGAGTGCTCACTGGAAGGACAGATCCTGAAGCTGAGGATCCAATACTTTGGCCATCTCATGAGAAGAGAAGACTCCCTGGAAAAGACCCTGATGTTGGGAAAGTGTGAAGGCAAAAGGAGAAGGGGACGACAGAGGACGAGATGGTTGGACAGTGTCATCGAAGCTACCAACATGAATTTGACCAACTCTGGGAGGCAGTGGAAGGCAGGACGGCCTGGCATACTCTAGTCCATGGGATCACGAAGAGTCTGACACGACTTAACAACTAAACAAGAAGGACAAGCTTTCTAGACTAACCAAAAATGTATAAAAAGTGTGCAGATGTGCAAAAACGTACACAGGTTTTTGGGAACATTTGCTCTTCAGCCAATGACAGTGGTTTCCACCTTGGGTCCCCAGCTGTTCTTGATCTAAAACTCCCAGAGGTCTTTACCACTAGGTGTGCTGAACAAGATTTCTGGGTGGTGTCCCCAAGAATATATGGGGACCCAAGGCTGGGAACCACTGCAATAAGATGCCACAAGCGAGTTCTGTAGGTAACTCGCTTGTAGGTAACTCCTCTTCACAAGGAGGTGAAGAGGAAAAGAGGAACAGGAAGGTTGATCTTAAGTCTCTCTCAATTGCATGTTGTTTCAAGGTATGGTGGTGGTGTGATATAGGAGATGTGCTAGCAGCTGTTGCTAGTTGGATAGTTTAGTCTCTCCCTCTCAAATCTATAGGAGAGGGGGTCTCTTCATTTTCCTTTTTCATCGGATGTTTTATTTGTGTCCTAAGAGAGCCACCAAAGAAAACTCTGTAAGATTCTTTCCTATTAATGAAAATTCTGTCATATCTCTATACTAAAATGGACTCAGTGTTCAACAAACAAAGTGGCCAAAGAAACAAGTTTCTGGATCTTAGGATTCCAGGGGAATAGAAAGTAGATCCCACACACCTGAAGTCTAAAGGTAAAGGTTCCCTTGACAATTTTTGTCCAGTCGTGTCCGACTCTAGGGGGCGGCGCTCATCCCGCTCTTCAAGCCATAGAGCCAGCGTTTGCCCGAAGACAATCTTCCGTGGTCACTTGGCCAGTGTGATTTAGACACGGAACGCTGTTTACCTTCCCACCGAGATGGTACTTATTTATCTACTCGCATTTGCATGCTTTCGAACCGCTAGGTTGGCGGGAGCTGGGACAAGCAATGGGCGTTCACTCCGTCGCGTGGATTCGATCTTATGACTGCTTGGTCTTCTGACCCTGCAGCACAGGCTTCTGCAGTTTAGCCCACAGCGCCACCACGTCCCTCACCTGAAGTCTCCCTATTACTAATTCAAGCCACAGGCTGTCACCTTGTCCTCTTGGCATTGCATCTACCATGAAGTCTTGAGATTCATTCTGCCGTGGTTGTACTTCACAGGTACTGATATATTATTGTTTTTAGTGTATGCTCTCTTCCCTGGCAGTCAGGGTGTCAGTACAGTGAAGACAGAACAGTTTACTCAGCTGTGATTTGCAGTTTTTCAGCCTTGGGTTTCTTGGGGTGAAATCCCTGTAGCCATCCAGATGACAATTTGCATGAGCAGAGACAAAGAGCTCGGTTTGCATACTGCTCCAACAGCAGGATCTACCTTCGATAAGGTCCTAACAAGGTGTGAATTGGTGATTTCTGTTCTTCCTTTTTAATTTTAGTTTTCTAAATGATGTAGTAATGCTGTGTTCCAGTGCTGAGCTGAAACTTTTTTTTTAAGGAAATACTTAGGCAATTTTTGGTTAAGATGAACTGATGCCCTCGCAAGTGCCTTTTTGTATCGGATCAGCGATCACACTGGCAGAAAACAGACAAAAGCAATTTCCTCCAGATCAGAAAAACATTTTATCCACTCCTGCCAATTGTACAAAAATGACGATTACTGGGCTGGGGCACCTCCCTTATTAGGAAAGGCTACAGCCTTTGGGGCCCTTTCGTCTAGAGAAAACATGCCTGAGGGGAGACATATAAAATTATGCAGGGGATGGACGTCTAGAGAAAACGTGCCTGAGGGGGGACCTGATTGAGACATATAAAATTATGCAGGGGATGGATAGTGGATAGAGGGAAGGTCTTTTCCCTCTCATGCAATACTAGAACATCCAATCCAATTGAGTGTTGGGAGAGTGAGAACAGACAAAAGAAAATATTTCTTCACCCAGCGTGTTGTTAGTCTGTGGAACTCCTTGCCACAGGATGTGGTGATGGCATCTGACCTAGATGCCTTGAAAAGGGGACTGGACAGATTCCTGAAGGAAAAGTCCATTACAGGTTACAAGTCATGCTGGGGATGTATACTCTAGGCTTAAAAGGAAGGCACCTCAAAATGCCAGATGCAGGGGAGGGGGTATCTGGACATCATACTTCAAGAAGGATGCTAACAAATTGGAACAAGTTCAGAGGAGGGTGACAAGGATGATCAGGGGCCTGGAAACCAAGCCTTATCAGGAAAGGTTGAAAGAACTGGGCATGTTTAGCCTTGAGAAAAGAAGACTGAGGGGTGATATGACAGCACTTTTCAAATATTTGAAAGGCTGTCATACAGAGAAGGGGCAAGTTCTCTTCTCGATCATCCCCAGAGTGCATGATACGCAACAATGGGCTCAGGTTAGCCAGATTTTGGTTGAATATCAGGAAAAACGTCTAATTGTTAGAGCAGTATGACAGTGGAACCAGTTGCCTCAGGAGTTAGTGAGTGCTCCAACACTGGAGGCATTCAAGAAAAATTAGATAATCACCCGGCAGATATGCTTTGATTGTATTCCTGCCTTGAGCAGGGGGTTGAACTTAATGTCCTTGTAGGCCCCTTCCAACTTCACTTTTCTATGCTTCTGTGTTTCTATCAGGAGACAGCTATCTAGTTGTCTCGTGTGCTCCCAGAGGCATCTGGTGGGGCCACTGTGAGATACAGGAGGCTGGACTAGATGGGCCCTTGGCCTTACCCAGCAGGACTATTCTCATGTTCTTATGATGATTTCCCACTCAAAACAGACAATCCCACAGTGGGCCTCCCTACATTAAACATCATGTTATTAACATTTTTAATTAAAATTCATCTCAGTCCAATCCAATATGCTATGCATAAACATTAATATTATTAAATAATATAAAAAACTATATACAGTACCAGTTTCCCCTCAACTTCTTTTTCTTCCAAAGTGAGAGAACAATTTATTTTTACCTTAAATTGACATTTTCCTTGTGCAATTTCTCCTTGGATTCCAAGATTGTCTTGATCTGTACATCTTGCAGCTGGAAAGGACAACAGCACCAATTAAAGTCTGTGTTTAATTATATCTAGTATAAACAGCGTAAGTCATGGGAAGAATATATAATTTTATGAACAGTTTTAAAAGCAACATTTCCAACAGTGCAAAGATCCTCTGAAACATTTTGTTCTCCAAAAATACAGTGATGCCTCGACTTACGACCATAATCTGTTCCAGAAGATGGACGCAAGTCAAAATGGTTGTAAGTCGAAGCACCATTTCCCATTGAAATGCATGGGAACGCAATTAATCCGTTCCAGCATTTTTTTAAAAAATACCAAAGAAATAAAATAAAATGAAAATAAAACACTGCAAGCCCCATAGGAAAGCTCTGGGGCTGCAAAACAACAATAACAAAAAACAAAAACAAAACCCCAAAATAAACATGGGAGCAAGTCCCACACTGGGACTGCAAAAAAAAAAATCACAAAAAACAACAAAACGTCACAGAAACATAACCGCCCCAGCCCAAGCCCACCCTGCAAAAGCCACCCGGAACAGTTTTTAAAAAGCAAAAAGCAGCACCTTACCAGTCCGAAGCCTCCTCCACCGAGGTGGCGGCGGCGGGGCTGGCCATGGCAGAGGACGAGGCCGGGGTGAGCAGCCGGAGCGGCCCGGCCAGGCTCAGCCTCCTGGCGCTGGGCTGCTGCCACCACCCCGTCCTTGTTGGAGCCCATCAACATCCCTTTCCCTAACCTTTGGGGCAAAAGAGCTACAGAGAAACAGCTTCTTCGCCACCAACGGTTTGAATTTCCCGCCTTTTCCCCCTGCCTTTTCCTGGTTGCAAGTTGAAGCCCCGGCCGCAAGTCGAAGCAAAATTTTTCAGCCAGAGCTGGTTGTAACTCGCAATGGTCATAAGTAGGGATGGTCGTAAGTCGACGCACCGCTGTAAATGTTTCATTATTTTTTGTAACAGAAATCCAAACACAGAGCTCCCTGTTTACATCCTGCACTAGCGGTGGTTTTTCCACAGGAGTCAGCATCTATTCTACAGATTCTGTTCTACAAGATGTTCTTATCTGTTCTTTAGTCATGATTATTTTACAAATGTTTATATGTCCAGCAATAAATTTATATAGCTATTCATTGAAATATGCCTGTTTTCACAGCAAACACTGACCAGAATCCAATTGGTAACTTAGTTTGTACAGGAGATGTTGCATAAGCTATAGTGGCAAATTATTGCTATTTAATGAGGGTGCATTCCTTTGCACAATTAAGATGAGGATACCAGCTGTGCCCATTCCTGGAGAGATCTGATTTGGACCACAATGACACACTGTATGCCTTAGTTAAATCCCAGATGTATTTGTGTAACACGCTCTACCTGGAACTGCCTCTGGAAAGTATTCAGAAACTTCAACAAGTCCAAAATGGAGCAGCCAGATTGTAACTGCGGATATTGACAGGGATGTAACAAGTGTCCTGGGCCCTGTGCTCTTCAACATTTTTATTAATGACCTGAATCAGGAGACATAGAGAATGCTAACCAATTTTGACCCAAAATTGGGTGGAATAGCTAACACCCTGGAATACAGAAACAAAATTTAAAATGATCTATATAGGTCTGAGTGGCTAAAAACAAAAGAATGAAATTCAACAGGGATACAATCAACCCTCGACTTACCAACCTCCATACATACAAACTTTTTGATTTACGAATGGCTCTGTTCGCAAAAATTGGCATCAACTTGCAAACAGAGCCTCTACCTACAAACGAGGTCGAGGCTCTGTTTGCAGGTCAATGCCATTTTTTTGCAAACGGAGCAATCGGCGCCTTCAGAGGTCTCAAAGGGCTTTCCCCCCCGACATCAGAGGAAGCCGTTTGAGACCTCCAAAGGAAAAAAGGATTAATTCCGTTCCCATGCATTTCAACGGAAAATAGTACTTCGACTTACGAACTTTTTGATGTACAAACGTGGTTCCAAAAAGGATTAAGTTTATAAGTCGAGGTACCACTGTAGGTGCAAATTACTGCACCTCAGAAAAAGAAATGAACACACAGTTCCAAGTTGAGGGATATCTGGCTATCTCAGCAATATGATGAGCGAGAAGGATCTTGGAATTGTTCTAGATCACAAGCTAAATAGGAGGCAACAGTGTGATGTGGCTACAAAAAAGGCAAATGCTATTTTAGACTGCATTAATAGATGTATAGTTTCCAAATGTCGTGAGGTGCTAGTCCTCTAATCAGTACTGGTTAGGCCTCATCTAGAGTACTGTGTCCACTTCAAGAAGGATGCTAACAAATTGGAACAAGTTCAGAGGATATTCAGGGGGCTGGAAAAAAAACTTACTTCTTTTTCTCCTTCGTGGTCTCTGCGAATACACACTAATAGGTGACTAGCAAGCTGACTAACCAGGAGGAGGGACGTCAGGAAAGTGCTGAAGCCAGGGCAACTCAACCTGCCGCAGCCTCAGCCTTTGCTCAGACATCCAGGCGGTACTGTGAGATGAAGGTAGACAGAGTGGCACATATGCCAGCGTGGCAGACATCCGCGATGTCCACTACATGAAGAAAGGCCGTTGAGGATGCTATAGTTCTAGTAGAGTGAGCTCTCAGTGATTTTGGAATTGTTCCTGCCTATCAATGTACAGTGGTGCCTCGCACAACGGGCGCCTCGTAGAGCGATGAATTCGCTCTACG